CTGAATGTCTCATCCCACCGGCTGATTTTAAACTTCTAACTTCCTGTTCAGTGATGTCTGTGTTTGTCTCTCCACTGTACTCAGGTCGGATCAGCTGATTAAACACCACAGATATTTCTTTAACAAACACCTGGAGCTGTGGTTCCCAACAGGTTTCTCCTTAGTCATTAGATCAGTGTCCACACAGTCTAATATATTCAGTGTCATACTTCTGTTTGGCCATGTCGTTGAGCTTGTTTGCCATCTCTGTTAAGTAAGGCTGTGTTCACACCTGCCCCGTTTGGTTCAGTTCAATTAAACTCAGTGCGGTTCGTTTGTGCAGGTGTGATGTGGACCAAAACAACCGGACCGAGACCTTCTTGAAGAGGTGGTCTCAGTCTGGTTACAAACCGATTCTGGTGGAGTTCTTTTGTGGTGCGAACGTGTTCCGACCTGGATCTGAACCAACTGCAGTCACATGACACATTGTTTGGGTTAAACATGAGCATGTTACAGTCCTGGAGGATTATTAATGTGCACCTCCTCCTGTACTGCCTTAATATGCACATTCAGCACATCCAATGCATCAAAACATTGTTTTCTAGTTGGAGCCGCGCCTCGTTTTCAAACTGTATGCTTTGACTAAAATCAACCTGCGTAAGCTCTGTGCCAGAAATTCACTGTACTCCAAAATAAACTTGACTTGTTTGCGAGTCACTTTCAGTCCATTCAAATAGACCTGTGATCCACTTTTGGACCAGGACCCATCAGTTGGGAAACACTGATCTGGAGGAAGATTTAAATCTCCCACAACGAAGACAGAAACTGAGACTAATGTTGACTCAAAGTGACGTTAACATGACAACGTTACTTAAATGTACCATTAAATGTTTTCTGGTTCGTCTCAGCTGTTTTGTTGCTTCTTGTGGTTTCAGATCGTAGATGAATGTCTTTCTTTTTTACTTCCATGATTGTTAGCTACATTAGCTCACATTACTGACAGCGACATAACGTTAAATGCAAGATGCTGTTTTTTCGTCCGTTCCTTTGACCTTTCACATCATCGTGTAGTTTATAATTATTGACAAAAATATTTAGTCAGAGTTTTGTTTTCAGAAGTTACTTTCAAAAAAAAAAAACATCAAAAAATATTCTTTTAATCAGTTTTTTTGGTGAAATTGAGGCTGTAACACATGAAGTTAATAAAATGAAGCTCAAATGATTTAAAACTAAAAACTTTTGGGACTTTTAAAAGCTTTTATTCAAATTTTCTTCCCTTCAGTCAGACATTAGTTTCACTTTAATTCAATAAAAATACACTTATGAACAGATAATCCAACCCTGATCAGTGTTCACCTTTAGTGTATATTTTATTGTGTTTTCATATTTATATTTATAATGAGAAGAGTGGAGGACCCAGTATGGAGCCTTGTGGAACACCCAGTTTACAGTTTGGAGGTGAAGACTTCACATCATTTACCTGAACACACTGCTGTCCACATTACGAAAATAAGTTGAAGTTAATTAATGTTAATTTATAAACTTTCCTGATGATAATTTTCTGAGTTTTTACACTGATCTTTTTCATTTCTTTGAAGACTTTAATCCATTTTATCAGCGGGTCATAAACCAGCCGACAGCAAAGAGGAACATTTTGCAAATCTCCCTTCTGCTGCATTCAAGGACACTCAGACATCTGAGCTGAACCCTTTTTAATGTAAAATAACAACAGAGTTAATTACTACAGTGTCAATGTTTGATGATTGTCTCCTGAGGAACCAATAAAAACACGGGATCAGTTGGAATAAAGGACTTCCTGTCTGTATCAGCTCACTTTGAAGGTTTCTCTGAGGTTAGATAAAGTTAAAATAAGCCTCATTTCATGGACGGAACAAAAGGGCGGATTAATTAATTGTGATAATGTCACGTGTTAATGCTCATCTCCATGACAACCATATCTGAGGGTCCGCAGGGGCCATCTTAATGCAGCGAGCAGAGAGCAGGAAGTCTGATCCTCCATCAGGATCAGGAGGATTAAACTGAGTCACTTTGTGAAAGATGGAGGTTGTGACCTCTGTTAACCCCGTCCTGACACACAGCTGCGTACCTGCTCAGGTTACACTCACTAAACATCCACGCTTTTATTTTGACAGTCCTGTCAGTTACAGCTCACGTCAGAGACTCAGAGTCAGGTTTTAAATCAGGAACATGGTTCCCAACCTGAGAGTCTGGACCCCTCAGAGGTCCTGAGATAAATGTTGTTCATGTGTATGATCCTCACCGTCAGCTAGCTGATTAATTATGGGATGTTTATACTTGGTTTTTGTACCTTATTCAGTCTATTTGCACTTGTTTCCACTCTGCACTGTAACTGCTGAACTTTTCTTTAATTTTTGCTTTTTTTTCTTGAACGATGCTGAACGCTGACACCATCACAGCAAATCTAATGTGAGCCAGTCTGAAACCTCTCTGAAACCGTGACTGGACAGACCTACAACCAATCAGAGCAACAAAACACATGATGTAGTTCTGAGCGATGTAACCAGACAACAGCGTGCAGAGATGAGCTGAGATGGTGGAGCATCAACGCATGAATCTGAAAATACTGCTCAAACAGGAAGTTCCACATCAGCTGAGGCCATCTTGGTTGTTTTCCAAAATGCTTCAGCGGCTCCTCATTAATAAGATAGATTCATGCACAAGGCAAAAAGGACGTCATCGTGTACTTTACATAAAGTGTGGAGGCTCCGCAAGTTGTCAGATGTCGTCTGAGACCCGCTCTATATTGGAAAAATGGTTGTGATGGGCCCGATGCGAGCAGGTAAAGCTGTGTGAACAGGAGGAGGAGGAGGAGACACATCTGCAGAGCTGCAGATTCACCTGTTTCCCAGGGTAACTGAACGCCTCTTCAGACCAATAAAAATCCTTTATCTGTGCTTGAACTTCTTATAACACACATCCAGAAAAACGAGCAGCGGAGCATTATGAAGCGAGGGGAGGTGTCGCCTTGTGGCTTCATACTTCTACTGTAAGTCATCAGATTCTGTTCATCAAATTAAAACACTGGCTTGGTGCGCTGACTGAGTGGATGTGATGTCATTATAAAAACTGACAACAATCTCCATTTTCTTTTGAACTTTGACCCCAGCAAATCGGCCAGTGTCTATTCATTCTGTTCCTACATGATAAACTGTCTCTCTGTCCTCAGGGCGTCCTGCAGGCTCTGAGCGCTCAGAGGGACGCTTCATTCTCACACCAACAGATCAGATCACACTTTGGTTCAAATGAGAATCTTTACTGACACAGAGGAGCTCTGAGCTGCGACATGAACATCAGCAGAGTCGACAGGGTCCAGCTGTCAATGTCTTTAATCTGCAGACACACTGAAGGCCGACGTCTGTTTCATTCTGGACAAACTTCACAAACTGAATATTCACTCAGTTCGTTTCCATGACATCAGAGGAAATGGATTTATTGTGTTAAACTGCATGTTAGTCCAACTGAAATCATACTAAATCGAATTTCTCAAAGTCAGACTGATGTTGTGTTCACACCGGGCGCGCATAAAACAATTTGTGCAAGTGACATGTGAAGTCAATGTAAAGACACAATTAGACGCGAATTCCTGCCGAGCGGCGTGATGAGCACAATGGACGCAATGCAACTGACGTGAAATGCGCAAATTAAGCAAGTAGCGCGATATCACATCATTTGCTCATTCGCCTGAGTTGAAAAATCTGAACTTCAGCGACCAATTTGTGCCACGATAGCCAATCAGCATTGAGTCCCTCTGATGGCGTACGATGCCGGCGGAAGTTCATTCGTCGATTCAGCAATTTTGTGCACGTATGACGCAAATTATCGTGCATATAAAGAAAGCCAACACAAAATATTCTAGTGTTCAAACACACCCAGATCATGTGACTCCTGCATGTATACAGTCAATCAGACCCAAACTGGCCGAGGCGCTCTGAGCATGCTCCACAGTTTCCGCCCCGGGCTTTGACCCGGAAGTCCAATAGCATTAAATGTGTAAGAGAAGAAGAAGCCGGTAACAACATGGAGAAATCTACATCCAGAGCCGTGACTTTTTGGACGCACCAAATGTACAGAGCTGTAAAGTTGTCCACCATGGTAGCAGTTAGCTGCTAGCTAACCGTAGCTAACTTGTCCATTGTTTGGTCTGTGACGTAATAGGTCAACAGGAAAAAGGTCCAATACTAACAAGCTGAAAGGGGGCATATCTCCACCTATCGTAGAGGAGTCGCACATACTTGGCTCAATAAATGGATTCCCCTCCCGTGCTTGTATACTGGGACAAGGACAGTAGGCCAGTTAGATGTCCTCGTCCAGCTGGGACTGTAGCTCCACTTCACTGTTTCCATGGAAATGGACTGAGTGAGTTCAGTAAAGAAATGATGAACTGATGAAGGATGAACGTCTGAGTGTCGTCCTTCATCAGTCACATGGTACAGTTTCAGTCTCCAGTTCACAGAAAACTGCTCAGTGTGACGCAGGTGAGTCAGCTGATGATGTCACACCTGCACTGTCAGGTCAAACACTCCGAGCTCTCAGTGTCACGTGACAAAACAGGTGTAGATGGTTATTAGAGCTGCTCACCTGAAGAGCTCTCAGCCTGATGTGTTTATATTAAATATACTCTGTAAACACTTTGTGACTGTTTTGAAAACTGCTGTACGAATAGTTTATTTATTGATTATTATCATTTATGAAACGTCATGTTCATGTCCTGAGCTCCACATTAGTTAATCATATTCATTATTTTTCACATTTACTTTATATTGACAGACTTCATACAGATACATCTTATTATTGTTATATTTCACTGTAACTTCTACATGTTTGATGATCTAACTGATCGATTAGTCTGAGAGCACGTGAGCTGATGTTTCTCCCCCTGTTTGTTTAAATCCAGTTAATCAATAAAAATAAATCAGCTGTTTCTGACTCATGAAACTGGAACTTGAACTCATCTGATGAAGAAACAAACCGCTTCTTACTTTTGTGTCTCTCCTCGTACATCTCCGCTGCTTTCAGCTCCACACACCGAGAATCATCTTTAATCGATCCGCTCTTTGATCAGTTTCCGCTCGGTTTGATCCTCATCAGCAGCCGGAGCTGGTTCCCACACACACACAAACACACACACACATACACACAACTTCACCGCATCTCAATCCGGATCACTGGGACAAATTCACATCACTTAAATCCCTCTTCTTCTTCTTTTTCTTTTTCTTCTTCGTTTCCTTTTTCTCCTGCAGCTGTTGATCAATTCATCGATTCATCGATTTACATCCGGACAGAGGAAAAAAGTGAGAAAATAAATCCAGAAATCTGAGGAGACAATTTCTTTTTCCAGCTCCGCTTCACTAATCTGACTCTCAGTTCATCCCTCTCCTCATCTCTCTGTTCATCTGTGTGTGTGTGTGTGTGTGTGTGTGTGTGTGTGTGTGTGTGTCTTTCTCTCAGTTGGGATTACACATATAAAAAAAGCTCGGTGTTAAAGGGGAGGGCAGCTGAGAGTTAAAGGCGCAGACTGAATAAAAATCACCATTTATTTATTGTTATTAACAGAAATATGTCCTCAGTGTCCCTCAGTGTTCAATCAATCAATCAATCAATCAATCAATTTTATTTATAAAGCCCAATATCACAAATCACAATTTGCCTCACAGGGCTTTACAGCATACGACATCCCTCTGTCCTTATGACCCTCACAGCTGATCAGGAAAAACTCCCCAAAAAACCCTTTAACGGGGAAAAAAACCCAGTAGAAACCTCAGGAAGAGCAACTGAGGAGGGATCCCTCTTCCAGGACGGACAGACGTGCAATAGATGTCGTACAGAACAGATCAGCATAATAAATTAACAGTAATCCGTATGACACAATGAGACAGAGAGAGAGAGAGAGAGAGAGAGATGCAGGTAATGACAGTAGCTTACAACAACATTATTGAAAGTAATAATATTATAGTTTTGGTTCTGGCTACTGTGGTACAATATGTTGAAAGTATGTATTAATATCTGGCAGTATACATGTGTGACAATAGTCATATGTGTATAATAACAGTAGAAGTATGACTAATGACTAATGATGGCAGCAGCAGCAGGAGGCATCTGGCAGGACCACGGCAGCAGCACAACCACACACGTCACGCTGTCCAGGCACCGCTGCGATATGAGTTAATCTGAGAGACAGTGGAGCACAAAGGCTCCGGAGAAGAAGCCGAGTTAGTGACATCCAGAATGGCCGAGTTAGCAAGATGCAGTAATAGAATACGAGAGAGAGAGAGAGAGAGAGAGAAGGTGCCCGGTGTATTATAGGGGGGTCCTCCGGCAGACTAGGCCTAAGTCAGCCTAACTAGGGGCTGGTACAGGGCAAGCCTGAGCCAGCCCTAACTATAAGCTTTATCAAAGAGGAAAGTCTTAAGTCTAGTCTTAAATGTGGAGACGGTGTCTGCCTCCCGGACCGTAACAGGAAGATGATTCCACAGGAGAGGAGCCTGATAGCTGAAGGCTCTGGCTCCTGATCTACTTTTGGAGACTTTAGGGACCACGAGTAACCCTGCGTTCTCAGAGCGCAGTGTTCTGGTGGGATAATATGGCACTATGAGCTCTCTAAGATATGACGGAGCTTGACCATTTAGAGCTTTATAAGTTAACAGTAGGATTTTAAATTCAATTCTGGATTTTACAGGGAGCCAGTGCAGAGAAGCTAAAACAGGAGAAATATGATCTCGTTTCTTAGTTCCTGTTAGTACACGTGCTGCTGCATTCTGAATTAGCTGGAGAGTTTTTAAGGACTTACTAGAGCTACCTGATAATAGAGAGTTACAGTAATCCAGCCTTGAGGTAACAAAAGCGTGGACCAATTTTTCTGCATCTTTTCGGGTCAGGATAGGCCTAATTTTCGCAATATTACGCAGATGAAAAAATGCAGTCCGTGAGGTTTGCTTTAAATGAGAATTAAAAGACAAATCTTGATCAAATATTACTCCGAGGTTTCTTACGGTAGTGCTAGAGGCCAGAGCAATGCCATCTAGAGAAACTATGTCATCAGATAAAGAGTCTCTGAGTTGTTTGGGGCCAAGAACAATAACTTCAGTTTTGTCTGAATTTAACATCAGGAAATTGGTGCTCATCCAATTTTTTATGTCTTTAAGGCAGTTATGGAGTTTAGTTAATTGATTACTTTCTTCTGGCTTCATCGATAAATACAACTGTGTATCATCCGCATAACAATGGAAATTTATAGAGTGATTTCTAATGATGTTACCTAAAGGAAGCATATATAGAGTAAATAGGATTGGTCCGAGCACAGAACCTTGCGGAACTCCAAAACAAACTTTAGTACGTAAGGATGATTCATTATGAACGTCAACAAACTGAAAACGATCAGATAAATAAGATTTAAACCAGCTCAGTGCAGAACCTTTTAGGCCAATTAAGTGATCCAGTCTCTGTAGCAGCAGTGTTAGTGTCCCTCAGTATTTCTTGCGTTCCGTCGGCTATCTTGGTTTTTAGAGATCTGTGTTGCACTTACAACACCTGGCCAGTGGGTGGCAGTGTAGGGCAGGACACACTGGGATTCACTGAAGTGGCTTATATGCAACTATAGCATCAAACTCATGCACATAGAGCTTCATGTGGTGGAAACACAGCATGTGGGGGTCATTTGGTGACGTTAGCAAACATTTCTCAGCCTACGTTAGCTACTGTTGCACACTGTTAGCGCTGCAGCTGAGCTGAAGAGAGACAGTAAAACACAGGGACATGAGTCAAAAAGTCAAAAAACACCAATGAAATGTTTCCATTGGATTTTGGATTATTGCAGAAAATAAAGTCTGAGACAAACAAATGTTTATAATACTGACAGGTTCTGTTCAGTGAGATCATTTTTTACACATGAACATCACTTTATGATTTTTGAAGTATGAATTCAGTCACCAGAAGTCAGACTAATGAATGACAGCACGGTCACATGACTCAACGTCACCTCAACGAGGCTGTAAAGTCGTGTTCAGTGTGATGTTCTGTCTCTATGTTCTGTTCTACTTCCTGTTCTCCTCTTCACCTCCTTCTCTACTTCCTGTTCTCCTCTTCACCTCCTCTTTCAGTTCAGAAACTGTTTTATAGACGATCAGATAAAAACTCTATCTGTCTCCATCAGATCAGAGATGACAGGATGAGAGAGAGAGAGAGTGTGTGTGTGTGTGTGTGTGTGTGTGTGCGTGTGTCACTAAGCTCCTGTATTAATCCGTTCATAATCCCGCCGCTGGACTCTCAGAGAGGATTTACTTCTTTCTCTCTGTCGTTTGTTGTTTGTGTCAAAATAAAATACAAAATAAATGACAAAATAAAAGTCAGCTGTTTCCTGTCAGAAACTCATCCACTTCCTGTAAACTTTGAGCTCCTCTCTGAGCATGTGGTTTCAGATTTTAAAGAAAAGAAAAGTAAAACATGTTCCCCAAGTCACTATGTGAGATAACCAGTGGTAAAAAGTAAGTAAGTACATTTACTTAAGGATTACATTGAGGTACTTTTACTTTCCATTTCATGTAACTTAATCTACTAACTAGGTGTCAGAGAGAAACACTGTTCTCTTTACTTCACTGTGTTTATTTGACAGCTAATGTTTCACATTATGATTTTATATCTGAACATCTGATCGGTTTATTAATATGATTGTTGAAGATTAAAGTACCGAAAGTATATGAAGTATTAAAATTACTGCTCACATATTAAAGCAAAGTGTGGAGTTTCTGATGTGGGGTTGTATGAGGTAATTATCCTTAAGGTGCCGACATCAAAGAACTAGCGGTGACGAAAGCCAACTGTTGCGTCGTCTACGTCGCCTCACGTCGCCCTGTGTCAGTTGCATTTGAACACACTACACGGACTACATCCGACGGCCAAGTAGCACGTACGTTCTGCGCCTGCGTGAGAGAGAGCGGAGTGAGAGAGTGGTACATCCTGTCAGCCGAGGGGTTTCCTATCTGTGCAGCCGAGCACCGCAGCACCTCCACGGACTATTACATCCAGACGGTCCCGGTGTTTCCTCCGCAGGCTCCACTTCACTCAGCTGCCCGATAAACCCGCTGCTTCTTCCCACTTTAACCTGAATAACAAACCAGGGCTCGGTGCTCCGGTTGGATCCAAACGGAGAGCCGGGGCTAGCTCAGAGACTAGCGGAGGCTAACTGGCTGTGCTTCCCTCCGGTCATGCTGCGGCTAACGCTCCACTAGCTGCTCCCAGCTAGCTCCGGTTTGTTATTCAGGTTAAAGTGTGAAGAAGCAGCGGGTCTGTGGGGCAGCTGAGTGAAGTGGAGCCTGAGGAGGAAGAACAGCTGAACAGCCAATCAGCTGAACAGCCAATCAGAGTGATCTCTCTCACCGTCAAGCTCTGCCGCTGATTCAACATGCTCAATCGGCCGAAAAGCCGACGTATTTTGTCAAATTTGACACAAACGTTCACGTGGACTGAACAATGATCTGATTAGATTTTGGTGGTCAAAGGTCACTGTGAACTTAAAGCAATATCTTAAGAATGCCTTGGGGGAATTTCTTCCAATTTGGCACAAATGTCCACCTTGACTGAAGAATAAACTGATTAGAATTTGAGGCTCAGAAGTCAAGGTCACACCCAGGGTACCTTGGACGTCATTTGTGGACGTGGAAAGTCCATGACCAAACGTGGACATGTGACGAGGTCACAGCGAGAATGATGATGTCGACGCAGCACTGACGTTAAATCACTGTTTTTTTAAATGCAGTCTGACTCTGAAGAGAAGTGATGTCACAGTGATGTCACAGTGAGGTCACTCTCAATATAACGTACACTTGATCTGATACAGATTTATTTAGGTGTATGAAACACATTTGGTCACTGACCCTCCACAGCTGTACATCGCTGAGCTCACAGGTCCGACTCCAGCTGCGTCTCCAAACTGAGGGCGTGACAGACACTGTGTTTCACATCCTGTCTATGGACGAGTGCTTCATACAACCCACTTAAAGGACCTGCACTATCCCTTTAATACATCAATAACAATGATCATTTAAAATGTTGGCTGACTCTTTTTGTGCCGTGGTATCAATACTTAAACTTCAGAGAGTACTAACTGTATTTATAATAAAGTCTGTCTGTGACATCAGACAGAGCTGCAGGTTCACACAGAGTATTTTAATATCAGGACTGTGAATGTGATTCATGTTGCTGAGTTAGAAAAGAACTGACTCAGTATTATAAACAAATATTCTTGTATCACAGAGTCACTGTGTGTCACATGACATATATGTAAAAACAAACTGTTTTGTTTTTCTGTTTAAAATCAATAAACATGTAA